CGTGGGGGTTGGTGGGGGGGGGGGGGGGGGGGGTGGGGGTGCTCACCTGTCCGGGTCCAACCAGTGGCCAGATTTGGGGTGGGAGGAAAGTTCCTTGGGTCCTACTGGCAAGGACTTCGGAGTTTCTCAGCTTCCTCTGCAGCTCGGGGAGTGGATCTCCTGCTGGAAACATCTGAGCATGTCAAAAGAGCATAAGAGCGACCACACTGGGTCAGACCAAAAGTCCATCAGCCCAGTGTCCTGTCCCTGTCCGGGTCCAACCAGTGGCCAGATTTGGGGTGGGAGGAAAGTTCCTTGGGTCCTACTGGCAAGGACTTCGGAGTTTCTCAGCTTCCTCTGCAGCTCGGGGAGTGGATCTCCTGCTGGAAACATCTGAGCATGTCAAAAGAGCATAAGAGCGACCACACTGGGTCAGACCAAAAGTCCATCAGCCCAGTGTCCTGTCTGCCGACAGCAGCCAAGGCCTGGTGTCCCAGAGGGAGGGAACAGAGCAGGGAATCCTCACGTGATCCCTCCCCTGTCTCCCACTTCCAGACAAACAGAGGCGAGGGACACCATCCCTACCCATCCTGGCTAATAGCCATTGATGGACCTAACCTCCGTGAATCTATCTAGCTCTTTTTTGAACCCTGTTTAAGTTCTAGCCTTCACCACATCCTCTGGCGAGGAGTTCCACAGATTGACTGTGCACTGAGTGAAAAAAAAAACTTCCTTTGGTTTGTTTCAAACCCACTGCCTCTTAATTTCATTCGGTGACCCCTAGTTTTATATGGTGGGAATAAGTAAATAAGTTCTCCCTATTCACTTTTTCCATGCCAGTCATGATTTTATAGACCTCTATCAAAGCCCCCCTTAGTCTCCTCTTTGCTAACTTGAAGAGTCCAAGTCTTTTTAATCTCTCTTCATGTGTCCCACCTAATCAATTGATTCCCTGCCAAGGCAGGGCCCTGGGTCCTTGAAGGCACCCCGGTCTCTCTCTTGCTCTGTGTCTGTGGCCTGTGGCACACCACAGATTGGTCGGAGGGGCTGAAAGGCTTTAACTGGGATCTTTGGCTTTGTTAGAGGATTGTCTGGGTGAAATGTGATGGAGCGTGCCACGCCGGCGGTCAGGCTGGTTGATCTAAGGTTCCTTTCTGGCCTGAAACACCATGAAAAGTGGCTTGTGACTGGGAGAGGGGCGGGTCTCGGTCTGTGGCCTGTGGCACACCACAGATTGGTCGGAGGGGCTGAAAGGCTTTAACTGGGATCTTTGGCTTTGTTAGAGGATTGTCTGGGTGAAATGTGATGGAGCGTGCCACGCCGGCGGTCAGGCTGGTTGATCTAAGGTTCCTTTCTGGCCTGAAACACCATGAAAAGTGGCTTGTGACTGGGAGAGGGGCGGGTCTCGGT